CAAGACAGCGTTTCTCTGTGAACAGCTCTGACTGTCCTGGAACTCACTCTGTAGAGCAGGCTGGCCCCAAACTTAGAGATCCACCTGTATCTGCCTCCCAAGTACTAGGATTAAAGGTATATACTACCGTGCATGATTACAATATTAATTTTTACAGGTAATAAAAATTGCCTTTCACTTTATACTTTTATCAGAAACAAAAATGCTACATTTCTGTACTCCTTTGCCAACCTAGTTTGTTTTTCTGAGGGCAGGATATCATATGGTCCAAGCTACCCTTAAACTATGTGGTTGAAAGGGGCCTTGAACTTCTGATCCTGCCTTTACTTCCCAACTGCTGGGATTGCAAGTGTCTGCCACCGTGCCCCGTGTATTTCCAGTATCTTTGCTACTCTGGAAAGGCAAGGTTACATTTCAAGTTCTGATTTTCATTTCAAATGTAAAGTTAAGAATCTTTTCCTAGCTAGGCCTATGGTACATGCCTTTAATCCCAGCACTTAGTAGGCATAGGGAGGTGGATCTCTGAGTTCTAAGACAGCAAGTTCCAGGTTAACCAGAGCTACACAGTGAGACCCTTTCTCAAAAGAGCAAATAAAAATAAATAAACAATAATCCTTTCCTATGGGCATAAGGAGATGCTCAGCAGTTAAGAGCGTTTGCTGCTCTTAACAGGGATCCCAGGTTCAGGTTCCAAAGTTCACATGGTGACTCACAACCATCTGTAACACCAGTTCCAGGAGACCCAGCACCTTCTTCTGTCCTCCATGGCATGAGGCATGCTTATAATGAACATACATATGTTCAGGCAAAGCACTCATGCACGTAAAATAAAAACAAGCTTTTTTTCACTTAATCTTTTGCAGAATTGAAAGCCATTATTACTCTTTTCCTGTAATCTATTGAACCTCTATTGTATCAGAATTCGGGTTGTAAGTTACAGAAACCAGCTCATCAACTCAAGTGCAAAAGAGAAATGTGTTAACACAATACAGGGATCTGCATCTTGTAGAACCTAAAAGCAAAAAAACTGAACAATTCATTAAAAAACAAAACAAAACAGCCCTCTGAAAAGCTGTCAGACACCAAGCAGTGCCTTCTCCCCGCCTCCTGCTTCTGTTCTTCTCTGCATGGCTGTCTTGTTTGCTTGCATTACTTTCAGTGAACGTAGTCATTCACTGTTGCCGATACTTATCCCACTGTGAACCCCGAGATTTCATTGTTTACTGGAGGAACCTCCTTCTAGCAGTGGTGTGGCTCAGCCCTAGCACTTGCCTTTAATCCAAGAACTTTTTGCTTGAATATTGTAAAGAGGATTAAATAAATCATCGATAGGTAAAGAGGAAGAGGAAGCAACCGGTTGACAAGAAAATGCCATAGAGAGTGGGAAGTCAGGATAATGGAGAGAGGGACGCACAGGAAAGAGAAGGGAAGGACATGTGGTTGGAGGAGTTTTTGTTTGAGGTGGCATAGGAGAAAACTCTTTCTGAGCTGGTAAAGGAGGAAGCATCTGGGTGCTTTCTCTGCCTCTCTGAGCTAGCAGGTTTTCACCTCAGCATCTGGCTCCCGACTCTATATTGATAAAATAGAACAATAGAGACTTAGATTAAAAAACAGTTCAAGGATTTGCATTTATTTATCACTGGCCCAGTCACTCAGAATAAACCTCTGCTTCAGCCAGACGACTCTAGGGCATGGGTCAACACTACAGTGCCACATGGGAGTAGAATCTCCAAGCAGAATGGTGTTAACTGAAAACTTCACCCTGTGTTAGGCTGATCAAACAAGTAGTGGTGGCCATTAATAACAAGATACTCTGTGGGTCCCTTCGAGTTCTACTGCCAGCAGAGAAACAAGTGAACGAGACAGGAAGGGCTTAGGTAGCCAAGGAGTTCTGACCTAAGCAGTTTATTTTTCACAATTTAACTTTGGAAAAAAAGTATCGTATCAAAGCTTAAGGCGTGACTGCATCACTCCTTTGCAAAGTACTTGTGAATACTTTCACTAGAATGGGTTCTGGTGAGTCACAGTGCTCAGGATAAGGGTGTAGGGAGGAAGGGTTTGTAATAAGCATAATAGTAAACTCTTTTGCAAAATGCATGGAACTTCTTTCATAAGACTGGGTTTTATTAGCCCAATGGTGGTGATGCACGCCTTTAATCTCAGCACTCGAGAGGCAGAGGCAGGTAGACAGACCTCTGTGAGTCTGAGGCCAGCCTGGTCTACAGAGCAAGTTCCAGGACAGCCAGGGCTACACAAAGAAACTCTGTCTTGAACACGATCACCACCCATCACCCCTAAAAGAATGTGTTCTATTGATAAGATTGTGGTGAAACCTGACTTTACAGAATAGTAAAAGACACCATGTTATAAACAACATTCACTCCAACCTTCTAGGTAGAAAACAGGCATGCACATCTCTTTCATTGACGAGAACAGTCTTTGTATAACAGTTCTGGTTTCTCTAAAGGTTATCTGTGAGCAAATGTAGCCCCTATGAGATGTGATACTTTTGTTTTTCTTAAACTGGGCTACGGTAGGAAGTGGATGTATACCAGTTGAAGAAAACTTAGGAAATGGGGGAAAAAGGTATATTCTTATCTCCCAGGGATAATATACACTATTGAATAAAGCATTTTGCTTTCTTCTGGTTTTTTTGTTGTTGTTGTTTTTGTTTTGTTTTGTGTTTTTTTTTAAATTTTATCTGCCTATCTCTGCCTCCCGAATGCTGCCATCCATGGTCTGCCTCAACTTTTTAACTTTTAAGTAATATGAACATCATTGTGGCTCAGTATTTAAGCATATCTACTGTTAGTTCCTGATGATAAATTTTTAAATAATTGCTGCTTTTAAAGAAGTAAACATTTTGAGTCTCGGTTACTGCATCTGTTTCCTTATAAAAGCCACCTGCCTGGTCTGGTGCAGTTCCCAGCAGAAGGCCCTGGCATGCAGACTCAGAACTGTGTCCTTGCCAAATTTAGAAAATAAGTAGGTCAGATTGTCTTTAGGGGCAGATCTAATGTTAGCTGTGAGAAACTGATTAACTCGCTCATCTTCTAGTCTGTGGCTGAGACCAGAGAGTCACAAACCATGGCCTCAAGGCTAGCCTAAGCAACAATAGTGAGACCCTGTGTTAAAAACACTAATAAAGGATAAGGGTGAGTGGCCAAATGCTTTTCCAGCATGCACAGGGGCCTGGGTTCAAAACCAGTGCCATACAAAAAGAGAAAAGAGAAGAGCCAGCAAGCAGGTTAGTGTGGTTTTTTGTTTTTAGTTTTTTGTTGTTGTTGTTGTTGTTGTTTTATTTGTTTTGTTGTTGTTTGGTTTTGGGGTTTTTTGTTTTTTGAGACAGGGTTTCTCTGTAGCTTTGGAGCCTGTCCTGGAACTAGCTCTTGTAGACCAGACTGGCTCACAGATCTGCCTGCCTCTTCCTCCTGAGTGCTAGGATTAAAGGCATGTGTGCTACCACCACCCGGCTACAGGTTAGTGTGTTAAGGCCACCTGCTCGGTGTGTTGTTAGGTCACTACAGGAAGTTGGTAGAGCTAGTAGCTTGAGAAACTCACCCAACATATTTTCTTGCCAAAGAACTAGCACTGTTCTAGTCAGTATTGCTAAGACAGTAACTTGAATGGGTGCAGCAAGTATTCACTCCTGTGATTACGATTTTTTCTTTTACTCGCTTCTTCATGTAATTACTCTATGGCTGACCAATCCTGTCTTTCTTTAGCTAACACAGTGAATTGATGTCATATCTTATAAACCTGAGAACTGTTTTGTCTCTAAGGTTAAAGTCACATACCTCCATTTTTAACAAGTACATGTGTGCCAGGGTGTTCCAATAGTTTAACTTGCAGATATTTTTTTAAATATTTATTTAATATATATAAGTGACCCATCTTCATGTACACCAGAAGAGGGAATCAGATCCCGTTGCAGATGGCTATGAGTCACCGTGTGGTTGGTGGGAATTGAACTCAGAACCTCTGGAAGAGCAGCCAGTGCTCTCAACTGCTGAGCCATCTCTCCAGCTCCCCAACTTGTAGATATTTTTGAATTTTGTTTTATCTCATATATCCCTAGCTGGATGCACTTGAGGACCTTGCACATAAAATAACATATTTCTGAAGAAATCCTCTTTAGATACATACACTACTGATTTATTTTAGAGTTAGCAACAATTAAAAGTGGTAGAGTTTTTGCCTTGGAATCCCAATGACCTGGTTTCAGATCCTAGTACTGTAACAAAACAAAAGGTTTCAGAGGTCAAAACCCATAAAGTCAGTGTGGTGGCCCTTGCCTTAAATCTAAGAACCCAGGAAAAAGAGGTTAGCAGATCTGTCCCAAGCCAGCCTGGCCTACATAGTAAGTTCCCACCCAGACAACCAGAGCTACATAGTGAGAACCTGTCTCCAAAGCGACAAAACAAACCAGGTTTGTTGTTAGGTTTGGTGACTATAATCACTTACATTACTCACTTGTACTGTCATGAGCTGAGACAGGAGGATTGTGTCCTTTAAGCTAGCCTGGGCAATATATTGAGACTTTTTTAAAAAGTAAGTAGTTTAATGGCAGAGACAAGCTAGAGAGATGGCTCATTGCCTGAGAGCACACGATGTTCTCAAAGGACCTGGGTTTGGTTCCTGCACCCACATGGTAATTCACAGCCATCCCTAACTTTAGTTCCAGGGTATCCAATACCAGTGCTGTCTTCTGACCTCCGTATGTACCACAGATGGTGCACACACATACATGCAGGAAAATATATCTTAACCAAAAAAATTTTTTTGAAAAAACTCCTTGTAGATGTTTTCTGTGCAGTAATGATGTCACTAATAAAAGTTCTCAAAGTAAATAACTGCCAGCCTATACTGTTTGGCACATCTGTAAGAATAAACTTAGCTGCCTGTCATGATGTTTTGTTTGTGGTTAGGTCCTTGAACTATCTTGAATATATTTTAATGTATTACAATTATTTTTGCATTCTTAACAATAATTATTTTAGGTCTACTGGCTATTCAGAGGTGATAGTTGTGGTTGGAGGCTGTGAACGAGTTGGAGGATTTAATCTTCCGTATACTGAGTGCTATGATCCAGTAACAGGAGAATGGAAGTCCTTGGCCAAGCTTCCAGAATTTACCAAATCAGAGTATGCTGTCTGTGCACTAAGGAATGATATTCTTGTTTCAGGTAAATATTTACTACAGTAGCTACTATGTTTGATCTGGATATAGGTTGGCTAGGTTTTTTTAATCAAATTATTTTATGTTTGAGTGTGCTATCTGCATGTATGCTTGCATGCTTCCATCTTTTATGCCAGAAGAGAGCACCAGATCTTACTATAGATGGTTGTGAGCCACCATGTGGTTGCTGAGAATTGAACTCAGGACCTGTGAAAGAGCAGCCAGTGTTCTTAACTGGCTTAACTGAGCCATCTCCCCAGCCCCCAGATTGACTGTTTTTAAAAAATAGTAATACCTTTTTGAGTGTGAAATGGATGTTTCAGGCAAATTAGTTTATACAAAACTGAAAAGACCTTTTGTAAAACTAGAATAATTTACAAAAGATCTACCACAAAATGCTTTTGGTCATGATATTTTGATGCTTTTGCATATGCTTAGAGTCTTTGTTTTAACTGTGTGTGTGTGAATGTGTGTGCACGTGCATGCGTGTAGGAGAGCATAGAAGTTCCTGCAGAGGCCAAAAGACATCATCAGATCTGGAGCTGAAGTTACAGGCAGTTGTAAGCTCCATGGGGGTGCTGGAACACTCAGGTCCTGGAAGAATGGCAGCTGCTCTGACCATGGAGCCACCTCTCCAGCCTTGTTATGGTTTAACTTTGCCTTTTTGTGTGTGTGTGTTTTTTTTTAAAGTCCATTATCAACTATAAAGTCAGAAGTATTATTACAATTAAGCATGTTTAATTTGTCTTTTTTCTGAAATTCTTTCGCTGAGTTTTATTAATTGGAATTTTTCTGTAAAATTTTTAAATTAAACATATTTACTATACATGATATAGTTCTAAAAGTCAGACAAAATGATAGATTTTCAAAAAGTATATCTAGTATCTATTCTTTTTGAAATCTGTTGATTGACAAATAACTTAATTAGCCTTGCAGATTATTTTAGTACCTAGTGTATGACACTCCAGCATACACCTGATTTTTGTATGGTTTTTTAAAAAGTCTTTAGAATAATCTTGCTATTTGTAATTATCTGACCTCTGATTTGTAAAACTCACCATCTGTATTTTATTGTGGATTATGGTCGTTGTTTCTCACGAAAACAGCTGGCGGAGTTTAAACTTTTCCATTAAGCTATAGAAGGTTCCTCCTTTATTTGTTGAACTAGTTGTGAACTTCTCAAATTGATTGAGGAAGTTCTGCTTTGTTTACCTATGTGTTAGTGACTTAGATCTTTTGGTCGAATTGAGTGACGTTGCCGAATGTGCATTGTTTTATATTTGAAGGTGGAAGAATCAACAGCCGTGATGTCTGGATTTATAACTCACAGCTAAATATCTGGATCAGAGTTGCTTCTCTAAATAAAGGCAGATGGCGCCACAAAATGGCTGTCCTTCTTGGTAAAGTAAGAGAAACAGCTTTTTAATACTACTGTTGGTATATGTCCAAAAGAAATGCCACAGCTGTATCTTGCATTTCCCTCTGGGTATTTTGGCTTCAAATGGTATTTCCTTCCATTCCTAACCAAGATAAACTAAAGACATAAACAATATGACAGTGTACTTTTTGAATAGATATTTTGTTCCTCCAATTTGAAATTTGTGGCAGTACAGCACATTTCTCACACGGTGGAATCCAAGTGCTTAAGAAAAACTAGAAAGGCATTATATCAGATACAAAACCAGGCAGTGTCTAGTTCACACAACTTTTTCCCTTTTACTGACTTTGGCAATCAAGCAGAAAAATGTTTATCTTAAGTGGTATTATTTAGCGTTTGTTTGTGCAAGAGGGGATAAAACTAAGATAAACTTCTCCAACGTGTGTGTGTGTGTGTGTGTGTGTGTGTGTTATGCATGCTTAAATTTTCAGTTGGACACATGAAGGCCGGGGAGGACGTCAGATGTCTTGTTCTATAACTTTACCTTATTCCTTTGAGGTAGGGTACTAGCCAGCAAGCCCTATCCCCACAGCACTGCAGTTATAGGACATTGCTTTGTTTTTTATGTGGGTATTGGGGATTTGAACTCAGATCCTTATGCTTACACAGCAAGCCCTCTGACTTGCTGAGCCATTTCCTCAGTCCCCTCACCAACATGTTTTATAGGAAATCTATTATAGACTACAGCTAACAAATGTATTAAAATAGATACAACTGAATGCCAAACAAGATGCTCCACCTGTGATCCTGGCTTTGGGACCAAGGCAGGAATGTCAAAAGTGCAAGGCCACCCTGGGCTACACAGTAACAAGTGTCAAAAAAATTACAATTTGGGTTCTGAACGTCAACTACCATTATTTAACCTGGTCTGTGAGGTAGTAGTTTGGGAATTTTTTTTGTTTTTTCAAGACAGAGTCTCATTGTGTAGTCCTGGCAGGCTTGGAACTCACAGAAATTCACCTGCCTCTTCTCACTGAGTGCTAGTTAATCCTAGAGGTTCTGTAGAAGACTCAGTTAACTTCACAGTTAATTAGAAGTGGCCTAAAGAGTTGATGATAATTATCTATTAAAAGAAATATGGGTATGAAACTGGAATGCTTGATTAAAAGTTTCTAATATCCCCATGATGCACAAGGGATTCTCTGCTTGTAAGCTATTCACTAAACATCTTGTTTATGGCTTCGGCTGTCTTGGAAAGGTATTGCCCCACCACTGTTCATGAAAAATGTTGAGAGCTTTGAGCTCACCGTGTCTTGGGTGTTTTTCTAGCTGTTATAGCTGCTAAAGATAGGCCTTGCCTTCAGAGAGCTCACACTAATGACCCCTAACTGGTGTTACAGTTTCATAGCTTTCTTCCTTTATAATCAAATATTTCATTGTTGAGTGAACAAAACTTGAGAAATCTTATTCCCTTCGGTGTGGTAAAGATTTGTTTTTCAAAAGGGATAAAAACAAAACATGATCATTCATAGGCATAGCACAGGTATACAATAAGGTAAACAAATACTCAGTATGCCTGTGATTAAAATGTCGCCAAAGGGAACATGCCAGAAAAGGCTCTGTAATGGTGGGGGAGTCAGTCAGGGGATTGCTAAGAAATGACAAAGTCTCAGAAAACTGAGCTAAATACACTGTAGTTCCAGCTGTCAAGGCTTTGAATAAGAGGGATCTTCTAATTTTAACTGAGCAGATAAACAGTTTAGACTTGCTAATAAGATTCTTTTTCCTGCATTTTACATACAGGTGTATGTTGTCGGAGGCTATGATGGGCAAAACAGACTTAGCAGTGTAGAGTGTTACGATTCCTTTTCAAATCGTTGGACAGAAGTTGCTCCGCTTAAAGAAGCAGTGAGCTCTCCAGCAGTGACAAGCTGTATAGGAAAACTGTTTGTGATTGGTGGAGGACCTGATGATAATACTTGTTCTGATAAGGTAAGCTACACAGTGTGCTTAGGAAACTCCGCATACTGTATACAAAAGGGAGACAGATGGCCTGTTGAGGAGATAGATGGCTGGCTAGGTAGCAAAGTGTGAGGGGTCTTTTAAAAATTGTTTGGTGTCCTGTTCTGAGGGAAAGGCCCTGGATTTCAAATTGCCACGTGACACCATAATATAGCCAGTAATTTGTTATGTGTAACAAATGTGATTAAACCTTTTTGAAATGAGACCAATCTCAGAGTGAAAAACTTTTCTATCATCTACAGGATTTAAAACTTACATGCAACACAGAAAATGAAGAGCAAAGGTCAAGGCACTAATGATGCTGCTTCCCAGCTAGGTCACGTCTTTAGACCTTTGAAGGGTATATTTGGTTTGGTTTGGTTTGGTTTTGGTTTTTAGAGCAAAGGAAAAGGAAAGAATGCCTCTATAGTGTAAGTAGAGGATGGTCCAAAGTAGCTGTAGTTCATCTGACTTGAACAGAAGAACATGTGCCATCCTGCATTTCAGGAAACGCCATGTTTTTTCTGAGGCTAATCGGTTTAGTAGTGATAATGAAATTTCATCAATTAATTCATTTATTTTATTCAGTGTTAATATATCATCAGGTGGTAAAGATGTTAAACAGCAAACCTGCTGATCTGAGTTTGATCCCCAGATCCTACAACTGAAGGAGAGCACCAGCTCTGTGGTTGTCCTCTGACCTCCACCTGGGCACTGTGGCCATAACAGATAAAATTACCTATTTAAAGTTCACTGAGAACTTATGCTAACTAAAAATACAATAAATTGGCCGGGCAGCGGTGGCGCACGCCTTTAATCCCAGCACTCAGGAGACAGAGGCAGGTGGATTTTTGTGAGTTTGAAGTCAGCCAGGTCTACACAGTGAGTTCCAGATCAGCCAGGATTGTTTCACAGGGAAACCTTGTTTCAAAAAAACAAACCAAACAAAACAAAAAAACGAAAATAAAAACTTACTAATTGAGGTTGCCTGGTGTTATTTTGAAGGACTCCCTAAAAGCATAAGGAAATTCTATTCAGATTGAAACATGATGCATAAAGCAATTTCAGAAAAACTTAAGACTTACTTTTAGTATACATTAGTAAACCTGGAGGCCATTCTTCTTGGAAATAATCTGTGTGTATTTTGTTACTGTCTTCTTTTTGATGGTAATAACTTAGGCTTTTTTGGTTGTTTTGTTTTGTTTTGTTTTTAAACAAAGGAGTTTTATCTTTTCACCAGGATGCAAGAATTTTCCTAATTTAATTATTTTTTTATTTTTTATTTTCAAGACGGGGTTTACTAATAGCTATGGTCCAGTTCTGGAACTCACTCTGTAGACCAGGCTGGCCTCGAACTCACAGAGATCTGCCTGCATCTGCCTCCCAAGTGCTGGGATTAAAGGCGTGTGCCACCACTGCCTGGTAATTCATAAATTTTATAAATCAGACTAACCTCATTTAATTATTTGAATTAATGGCATTTTATCTTCAACCATGTTTATATATATCAACATTTTTAAAGCAAATTTACCTATTTGTTTAGACATCTTACTTTATATTTTTTGTATTACTAGGTTCAGTCTTATGACCCGGAAACCAATTCTTGGCTACTTCGTGCAGCTATCCCAATTGCTAAGAGGTGCATAACAGCTGTGTCTCTGAACAACCTGATCTATGTTGCTGGTGGACTGACCAAGGCGGTATATTGTTACGACCCAGTTGAAGACTACTGGATGCATGTACAAAACACATTTAGTCGACAGGTAATAGCACAGAGTCCAAACAGAAATGAAGAGGAAATAAGGGACATGATTATTTACTTGAATTTCACTGTTCAAATATTTCGTAATTTTTTTAAACTCCCTTCTACAGAATTGTTTATTTTTTTAAATGTTTGTTTGTTTTTTGTGGTGCTGGGGTCTTGGGTCCAGGGCCTCGTGAGCACTAGGTAAACACTACACTGAGCTAAATGCTCTGCCCCAAGGGTTAATTTTAGCAAGTTAACTTCTTCTTATCAACCCAACATTAAGTAACCTTTTTTTTTTTAAACAAAAAATACTCTCAGCCTTCATTTTTCAAAATCTTGTCCCATTCTTCTGCCATTTCTCTTCCAATGTTTCCGAAGAGGAGAGATCAGTTTGTTTACAGTCTTACAGTTTTGTTGTGAAGGAAATGATAGTGCTCAGGCCGCATTCATCCACACGTTCTTTCCATCTCATCTCTGTGTTCCCAGAAAGCTCCCAGCTTCCGGTTCTTAGCTCTGCTCACTTTCCTTTTACTACCAAAATGCTGCTTCTGATACTGGAAATCTGTCTCTCCTCACGTGTTAGTGTGTGCACAGGGATGTGGGTGCCCAGAGAGACCAGAGGGGGGGAGCACTCCTGTAGTTTCAATTCCAGGTGGTAGTGAGCCCCCAGATGTGTGGGTGCTGGGAACCAAGCTCCAGCCCTCTGCAGATGACACCTGAACCAGTCTGATCTCCCAAAATGTATTGTTTCCTTCCATCTAGCCTTCCTTTTTCTTCCTTTCTTTCTTTGGTTGGCAGGATTTTGTCTTTCTATTTTTCTTTCTTTTTTTTTGAGAAAGGATCTCACTATGTAGTCCTTGCTGGCTTGAAACTCACAGATCTGCTTTCCTTTCCCTCCTGAATGCTGAGATTAAAGGTACGCCCCATACCCAGCTTCCAAAGACACATTCTTTTTGGTTTTTCAAGACAGGATTTCCTCTTTGTAACTTTGGAGCCTGTCCTGGGACTTGCTCTGTAGGACAGGCTGGCCTCGAACTCAGAGGGATCTGCCTGCCTCTGTTTCCCGAGTGCTGCCATTAAAGGTGTACATATGCCACCACCACCCAGCCAAAGACACATTCTTAAAAGTCACCAGCCAGTCATCTCTCCTGTTGTTTTCAGTCTCATTTTTTTTCCACTCCATCTTTAAGTATTAATGTTGCTTAGCCTCTTTCCCCTGACTTGAACTCTAGTTTATTCCTGAATTACTTCATTTGCTGCTCAGGACTCACCTTGTTCCAACTCCTATTCCCACCAGCTGTGTGGCATTGTCCATGTTGCAGATGTATGATGTAATCTGCTATTCTTCTGCTGTCTCTGTGTCCAGACATTTCAGATACCACCCTAAGTTTTTTCCCTGTCTCTCAAAGAGTGAAGCTCACACACTGGAGCTGTCCTCAGAGTCCTGTTCTCTAGTCTAGAAGCTTCTCTAAACCTGTTTGCTACCAGTTATTCTCTAGCCAGTCTCATGTCCCCTTAATTGGAAATCTGAACTAGCTCCAAACTCACCTCTTCATTCTAGGCCTTCTGTTGTCTCATCTTTGTTTTCTTTGCACTTGCTCTTAGCCCAAAGGTGGTTGTTTTGTTTTCTTTTCCTTTCCTTTCCTTTCCTTTCCTTTCCTTTCCTTTTTTTTCCTTTTTTTTTCCTTTTTTTCCTTTCCCCTTCCTTCCTTCCTTTCCCTTTCCTTCCTTCCTTCCTTCCTTCCTTCCTTTCCCCTTCCTTCCTTTCCCCTTCCTTCCTTCCTTCCTTTCCCCTTCCTTCCTTCCTTCCTTCCTTCCATCCGTCCGTCCGTCCGTCCTTCCTTCCGTCCTTCCTTCTTTCCTTCCTTCCTTCCGTTTGAGACAGGGTTTCTTTGTGTGGCCCTGGCTGCCCTCAGAGATGTACCTGCCTCTGCCACACTAGTGCTAGAACTAAAGGTGTGCACCACCACGCCCAGCTCATTGCTTTTGTTTTTTGTTTAAATTTAATTTTCTGTAACTTTGTTCCAATTACATTGCTATTTTTATTTTCAGTACAAATCACGTTATTTTGTATTGGCCTGTGTTGATCCCTTAGCCTATGATGCTTTTTTTACCTTCTGTACTTGTAATTCCACTCATCTTTCAACAGCAAACGCAGGTTACCTTGGTCAGAAATGACCTTTTCCCCACTCCTTTTGTAGTATTCACACTGAGTATAGCAGTTGCATGCTCCTAAAATCTTTGCTTTATTTTATTTTGTTGCTTGGTCGGTTTTGGTTTTTTTGACTTAATTCTCAGGCAGTTGGAACTAGCCTTGAGCTTTTCTTGATCTGCCTCCTCCAAAAAGCTGGGATTACAGATGTGTACTGCAGTGCCAGAATCCCTTGTGAGTTTAGGTTTTGAGGGGTTTTTTTTAAAACATTTATTTGGGTGTTTGTATGTGTGTCACAGCACATGCAGAGGTCAGAAGACAACATGTAGGACCCCACTGTGTGTATACTGGAATGGAACACAAGTTGCTGGGATTGGCAGGAAATACCTTTTAATTAGCGAGCCATCTACCAAATCCTTGTTATAATTTGTATGAGAGTGTGTGTGTGCGCGCGCGTGTGTATATTATGTGTGCACACCACGTGTATGAGTGTTCCCAGATAAAAGAATGTTGTGTCCCCTGGAATGACTGCTGGGAACTGATCTTGGGTCCTCTGGAACAGCACAAGTAATCTTAACCACTAAACCATCTCTTTATACTTCCCTGAATTAGTTTTTATAATTTTTTTTTAGATTTTATTTTTATTTCTGGGTCTGTGTGAATGTATGCTATATGTATGCAAATGCCCTTGGCAACCAGAGAAGGTTATCAGATCTCCTGGAACCAGACTTAGGAACAGGCAGTTGAACTGCCCTGTGTGGGTGCTGAGACCTAAATGTGGGTCCCCTGGAAGAACAGCGAGTACTCTTTAAGCCCTGAGCCATCTCTAGCCCCTTCCCTGGTTTTTAAATGTTTATTTCTTTTTGGTTTTTTGAGACAAGGTTTCTCTGTGTACCAGCCCTAGCTGTTCTGGGACTCACTTCATAGACCAGACTGACCTCAAACTCACAGAGATCCTCCTGCCTTTGCCTCCTGAGAGCTGGGATTAAAAGCATGCACAACCACTACTTTCCTGTGTTGGAATTCAGCCTTCTTCAGGATACTGTGGAATTAGCAATTCATTTCCTGTATTTCTTGCATATGTTCCTATTGATTATATATTTTTCTGAATTCATGAACAGATGAAGTAAATGGCCTGACCAATAGACTCCCGCATGGTAGGAGATAAGAGCACCCTTGGGCATCCTCCAGCTTCCCACATGTGCTCATACACTGCTGTACATTAAATGTAATATTTTTTTTAAGTAAGGGAGGAACATTTTAAGTCAGTGATGAATATAAGGGAAAATCTGAAAGCAGGTTTGTAATCTCAGAACTCATTGCGAGTACTGAGACAGGAGGATTGTTATCAGTTCAAGGTCAGCCTGGGCTATAGACTAGTAAGATTCTTAATTTTTGTTTTTAAAGACTCACCTTTATAAGAATAGCTCTTTTGCCTAGTAATTATTTACACACAAATACAATTTGGCTAAGGATCTCTTTATGTAGAATAAAGTAAAGAATAAACTATTGGTGGCATTTGTGTCCCCACTAAGACCTCTGATAACAGGATTTTTTTGGTTTTGTTTTTGTTTTTTGTTTGTTGTTGTTGTTGTTTTTACTTTGATTAAAACCTGTTTTCCTCTGGGTGGTGGTGGTTCATGCCTTTAGCCCTAGCACTTGGGAGGCAGAGACAGATGGATTTCTAAGAGTTTGAGGACATCTTGGTCTGCAGAATGAGTTCCAGGACAGCCAGGACTACACAGAGAAACCCTGTCTCAAAAAACCAACCAAAGAAACACACAAATTGGTTTTTATTTTTTTCAATTTAAGGCCATCTCAAGGGACTTAGTGTCCCTGTTCATTGATCATGTGACAATTAAAATAGCTGCCCTTCACTACCGTGACCTAGTCAAAGCCTTTTTAGTCTACCGTGCCCTTCATGTCTTGGCTTTTGTTACTCACAGTGCACTCACTTAATGCAAGTACCCAACACTCAAGAATAGCAGGCATTAGGCCAAAGGTAGATGATATTATATCTTCTTTCTTTTGTACTGTATTAAAACGTATTGTTGGTTTTCTGTTTATTGTCAAATCCATTATCTACAGTAGTTAATTGGGCTTTTTTGTTTTGTTTTATGTATTTGATTAAACAGGAAAACTGCGGCATGTCTGTGTGCAATGGTAAGATCTATATCCTAGGTGGAAGACGGGAAAATGGAGAAGCCACAGACACTATTCTCTGTTATGATCCTGCAACAAGTATCATCACAGGGGTCGCTGCAATGCCCAGACCAGTGTCCTATCATGGCTGTGTGACTATTCATAGATACAATGAGAAATGCTTTAAGCTCTAAACCTGGTGTACCTCACACAAGAAGCCACACAGCCTAAGAGGGAACTTTTAAAGTAAGAACACGTCTCCTTTGTGCTGTATGGAAAAAGAAAGAAATAGCCCTGATGCCTTTCTCCAAAAATACCAATATTTCAAGCTGTATTAAGTTCTTTCCTGTAACTGGGGGTGAGGACTGTTAAAATGATGGCGGTTAAAGCCAGGCATAGTAGTGCACACCTTTAATTCCAGCACCCAGAAGGCAAAGGCAGGTGGATTTCTCCGAGTTTGAGCCCAGCCTGATCTACATAACAAGTTCTAGGTCACCAAGGGCTACACAATAAGGCCTTGTCTTCAAAAAAAAAAGTAATAATGATAATTTGGCCTATGAATATATTTTTGCAACTGTGAGAAACTGTGTGGGGTAAGAAATGACATCCAGCTGTAAACTTCTTAGGGATTTGTGAACCATCTTTTAGGAATGTTCATTTCTTTTTTGTCTATTATGTAGAGAAAAATTGTATGACTGAAGCTTCATTTAGGTTGAATGCCTGATGTTAAGAACGTTTAGTATTCGTTGTGAGGAGGAGAAACGAGTTTTAAATACAACTGTCACTGACTTATCCATACTGGTTAATTTCATTGAAGGTGGGTTTATTTTTTTAGCTGTAAAAATGTAGTGACAATTCAGCTACCGTAAAACATCAAATTTAATGACTTCATAGACTATTCTCTGTTATTAAATACTTTTTGTGAGCTTATGTAGGAGATTTAAATTATACATTAGTCCCTAAGAAAAAAATTAAAATAGCTATCAGAGAAAAAAATGTGATCCAGTTTGGTTCTCAGGGTATTTAATGAATCATCTGTGAGTTCTTCACTGAAGTCTTCCCTTAAAGCTAGCAGAGGAGTTGAATTCCTTTTCCAGAGCCAGGATGTGGGCACACCTGTCTCCAGGATCTGGACAGTGCATCAAAAGAAACCAAATTGGGACTGAAGAGATGGCTCAGTGTTTAAGAACACTTACTGCTCTTGCAGAGAACCCTGGTTTGGTTCCTAGTATCCATATCAGGTGGTTCACAAAGACCTGTAATTCTAGTTCCAGGGAACCCAACACCCTCTGGCCTCCCTGGGCACCTACAGGCATGTGGTGCACATAAATTCACACAGACACACATATGTACATTAAAGAAATGAATCTTTAAAAAAGATAGGTTTGCTCCCTGCAGACCCAGCAGAGTTGACCTTCCTGGTTTGATGCTTTGTCGAGTATCACTTCCCTGACTTCTGAGCATCTACCAGTCCTAGGAATCTCTACACCAATTCCTTAGTAGCCTAGAGCAGAGGCCGCTCTTTTCAGTGGGGCCACTTGTTTGTAAGTTAGCGCCCAGCCACACTGGCCAGCAGCAGTTCCAGGCTTCTGAGCAAGATCTCTTTTTGAGAGCCATTGTATAAAATATTGATCAACGTTTTCAAATTTCTATTAAAAGTTTTTTCCTCTAAGTTTTTTACCTCCATTTTATAAAGGTTACCTGTTTTCAAAGGGAAATACAAAAGTTTTTTCTTAAAAATGTAAGTGGGTACAACAGGAACTATCATAACTAATTACTGTAACTTCTGTGTGGACAGATAACTATTTACAATGCTGTGGCTCTCCCAGGTGGCTTGCTGTGTTTAGTGTCCCAGTTACCATTGTCTCTTACACCACAGTGTACTCCCTGTCAGTGACTATGTTCTGCTTAACTATGAGTTCTGTTAAAATTAAGGTAATCATCAAACGCCTACCTTTGACAAACTTTATTCCTCATCTTAGCATAATACAAACATTTCTTAAGAGTCAGTGCTTAATTGAAATCTAAATTCTGAGAAAAATGCTAGAAAGTACACTTATGAAATACTTTCCAAGTCATAAATTTTAAATGATTTAACTGATAACTATACAAGCATTCTGAAAACAATTATCTGTCAGTTGAGAGACAGTTGATGTAAAATTGGGATATTTGTACTGTAATTTTATAGTAAATACCTGCATTATACTTTTGTTAGATAATGGAAACTGTTTAATTCAGAAATTCTTAACAGTAAAGTGTGTGAACAAAAGTGTTTTGTAAATGCTTACGATTCTACAAATGATAATTGTTATTCTCATGTATATTTGTAAGATTGAGTCCATTCATAAATACACCATATAAAAAATTTTCTCAAAGTAAATTTGTATTTTAGTATTTTTGTCTATTGTAAAAGTATTATCTACTTGTAATTTGTAGTGTTTATCTTTCATAATCCTTGTGTTGTAGTAAATTGGAAAAAATTTTGAGAAACCAGAATTTGTGTAAACAAATGAATTTTTCTTTATGTAATTTAAAAACCATGTAAATTGAGTAGTTGCAAGTTATATTAAAAGTCACCCAAAAGTACCTCGAATCCTAGAAAATTAAATTTTTAAAGCTGCCCAATTGATATTTTAACTTCTTTTAAATATCTTATATTTTAATTTCCTTTCATTATCTTTCTATACTAATTCTTGATAAAAAGCAGTTGTGGTAAGTCCTGGTTTAAGAAACATAATTTTAGGGTATAATTAGTATATTAAAAGGGACGTATCAACCATCTTGGTGTCAGACTAATATTCTTTCTGTCCTCCCATAGCTGGCAGGTTTTCTTTTGGTAGGTGATGCTTATGTGCACCTCTAGGTTACATGTATGTGTTTATATGTAGACAGTATGGATATGTGCATACATCACAAACACCCAATGATTTTTGAAGTTTCATTATCAGAACTAGATAATAAGATTAAAAAATTAGTTGATCATATTCTATTCAAGTGCAGAAGACTAAATTTGAACGCTTCTGGAGGACTCTGTTTTTGAGACAGGATCTCTGTTGCCTGTGCTAGCCTCAAGCTTTTGGCAGCGATTCTTTATTTTTTTGGGTGCTATGGCACAAATGGAAGCCAGCACCTGTTTTCTAGAATAATCCTTTCATCTGAAAGTCCAGATCTGGTCCTGGGGATCTGTCCACCTGTGTAACAGCAGGGTTACAGTCAGAAAACAGGCTGCTCAGATCACAGGAGCCCATTGTGATCTCAGCTGGAGAGAACTTGAAGGTATGGTTTGTGAATCAACAGAAAATTACAGGTTTTGTTGTTGTTGTTGTTGTTGTTGTTGTTGCTTCTTTAAGACAAGGTTTCTCTAACAGTCCTGACTATCCTGGAACTCCTCTGTAGACCAGGTTGGCCTCGAACCTCTCTCCTACATGCTGGGATTAAAGGCATGCACCACCACCACCACCGAGCTACACTTGTTTTTTGTATGCATTTTTCATGAACTTGGATCCTTTTCTAACTCTTCTCCATGTGTGTGACAAGGTGGCCCAAGTTCTGCCTCTTCCACTATGCTATCCCCACTGACTTTACTAACAGATGAATTGGGTTCCGTAGCTGTTTTCATAGATGATCAAGACCCAGGTGTTTACTCCATTTGAATCAGGTTTAAAAATACGCAAATGCTCAGGGAGGATGTGAGCTTGTCATTGCTGCCTGATTGGGGTGCTGTCTCTTAAATAGAGTTGATGACTCTAGATTAAAGTACTTTGAGAAGCTTCACACATGGCCATGGTCTTGAACATTCATTCTACTTAGGATGACAGTGCTTCGTGAATTGATAGATTCTCCTGGTTAGTATGAATTGCTTATGTATCTGCTGTCAGACTCCCATCCAGAAACTCAGGAAAGACAACGGTTGTTTTCTTTTTTTGTCCATGTCCAAATCAGGTGTGTGCTGCTTTTTCCTGGTCTGACAATAGATTTTAACAATCAGTTTGCGAGCCCATCCATGAAGAGAGGGAGTTGAGTTATCTTCTGTGTTCCTTTAACATCTTGGGATAAATATGTGAAAAGGCTACATACTCCAGACTTTATGTGGTACCAAGTGATAAGATGATATCTAGAGGTTTCCTGTGGACTGCTTTGTTTCATAGTCAATAAGACACTACTAGTTAACATGACTTGGCCTTGCTAGACTTAGTTTTGTGTAGCTGAGTATGGTGGCAGTGCCTGTAATTCCAGCCCTTAGGAGGTGGGGCTCGAGGATCAGGAGAGTTCAAGGACAGCCATGGCTATGAAGTCAGTTTGAGGCTAGACTTAGCCACATAAAATCTCATGTCAAAATAATAATGGAATTGTTCAACATTCTGTAGAAAGCTAGAATTATATCATTTCACCCATTATTACGTTAGGTAAGTAAGCAACTCACTATATACTACGTAACCAAATGAAGCTGTCTGGCCGACCTGTAAGGCAGTAGATTTGAGTCACTAAATATACTATAGCCACACCTAATGCTAGGCATCAGACACCACTCCCAAGAGTGTAAACTAATGATCCCAGAGTTGTTTTCAAAACGTTGTAGACATTTTAAAGTGTTTATTTGTGAGCAGGTTGGAGAGATGGTTTTGCAGTTAGGAACACTGCTACTTCTTTTGCAAATGATCTGGGGTAGGGGTCCAAGTACTTTTCATGGTGGTTCACATGTGTCTAACTCAGTTCCTGGCATTGCAATACCCTCTGGCCTCCACAGGCACCAAACACACATATGGTGCACATACATGTGCAAACACTCATAGTACAGGCAAAACATACACATCAAAATAAATGAAAATATCCTTAAGATATTGTATATGAAACTTTTTACATGTGTGTAATTAATAATGTTAATAAGATATTAAGCTTACATAGGGCTAAAGGTGATACTAAGTTTTTAAATAGTGAAGTCATAACTTTATATATCGTTCCAAAGAAGTTTTGTTTTAATTTTTGTGCCTTAAACCTCCCCAGTGCCATTTCAGTCAGATAAAACTCAGCATGCATAAACAGCAGGGTTGCCTCCTGTGCGGTATATACACTTTTTTTTTTTGGCCCGACTTAATTTTCATTTTTGTTTTGGAAACTGGGTTGGTTTTATCTTTTGAGTCAGGGTCATATGTAGCTCAGACTGGCCTAGAACTCTTGCTGAAGATGATCTTGAACTCCAGTTGTTCTTTCTGTGTCTCCCAAATGCTTGGATGACAGCATGTGCCACCATACCGGGCTGTTCTTGTTTGTGGGTTGGTTGATTTAATGTTGCCCTGGCTAACCTGGACTCAGGACATGGCCGGGCTGGCCTTGAGCAATGGCAGTCCTGCCTCTGTCCATATGTGCTAGGATTATAGGCTTGGGCCATCATACCCAACTGACCAGAAATTCTTTGTGAGTTTCAACTGTATAGTTGCTTGGCAGAAAGAGAACGTTAACTGAGGTTGTTGCTTGGTTTACATTAACTCTTGGTACCTAGGTGCTTTTTAAATCCTCAGATAAACCCTCATTAGGCTCTCGTAAAGGTCAGTTGAAATATCTCAGTGAAAAAGCTGGGTTGTTATATCCTTACATTAGTAATTAATTCTGCTCTAGGCTTTTTCTTTTGACTTTCTTGAGAAAGGACTTCCTCTTCCTTATTACCCCTCCTGAAGTGTGTAAGTCTCTAGAGCTAACTGAGATAAGGCTCAGAACTGAACAACTGTAATGTGCCTTACTATAACTGCTACACACCCATTGCTTTCAGTTTGAATCTTCACAATGAGAAAGAATGTTTTCTATGTCCTTGTTCTCAGTTCAATTGTAGTACAGTAATGCTTATGTGTTTGTTTAATGGCACTTCTTCCATAGTTGAAAGTTTTAAAAAGTTGTGTCTAATGTCTTTTAAATATTACTTGACTATATGGTTGTATTAAATTTTGTTTACCAAAAATC